AGGCCCGGCCCGCTTGGTTGAAATTGTTGAACTAAATTTGCGTATGGAAAGATGAATACATTTGCTCTTCGTGGACAATGTCTAATTTCTAGCTTTTGGGATCATTTAGCTTGGTCGCCCTTGTAATTTGTGAAATGACTTCGAGGTGGCAGAGGAATGGGCTGGGCCTGCTTGCCTAAACTCTTGGGCTTACACCTTAAAGTAAGGCTGGATAGAATTGGGCCAAAATTTGTTTAGGTACTGTACAGCTAAATTCTCTAGATAAAAGACCTTGGGAGAATTTTATATATACATAGCGATTTAAAAATAATTGCAACAATACCAAGGGTTGCATTTTAATTGCAAAGTTACCAAATGCATGAAATTTATTTGTGAATATACAAGATATCAGTTATTCAAAAAAAAAAAAGTCTCCTTAAATTGTGGGATTATAAATAGACCACGTAAGCCACCTTCCTACAATCACGCATCTATAGGATTGCACTGAAAAAGAAAAGGTAAGTGTTTCTACTAATTAGGAACTTGTTTAACCATGTATATATCTTTCAACGTTTTTTTTATGTATTTTTCTACAGTTTGTCTTAATTTATTATGTATATTGTTTGTATATTTAGTGTAACCACCTCCTCAAATGAGAGGATTTTCAATTATGGGTATATTGCGTGTCAATTTCTTTCCATCCCAATTCTACGCAATATATATTGCGTATATGTTCAGTATACATACAAATTTATATATCCAAAAAACATGTATTATCTTCATTTTGAAACTGGTTTATGTATATATGTAGTATATTTTTTGGGTTTTTTTTCGATCTGATGTTTATATATATATTGGGGTTTATATAAGTATACCTAATATATACTGAACATATACAGAACATATACTATTTTCTGGAATTATATATTTATACCGAACATATACTATTTTCTGGAATTATATATATATATACACCGAACATGTACAGAGCATATACTGAAAATAATTTCAGATCCAGGCGTCGAGTTGTTCATAATTCTCATGAATTTCATTCCAATTTAGATCCTTCAACCGTCTGTTTGTTGAACGACTCGTAGTCGTCGTCTTCTTCATAATTGGGTGCCAGTCGGGGTTTAGGGTCGTCTTACTACCGGCGGGTATGTCAATTCATTGATCCGTCGATCCCGCGTTCATCCATGTCGTGGGTCGCCCGTATTCGACCGATAAAAAAACAGATAATAAATTTAACTGTAGGAGGAGATAAAAATTTAAAAGTAAAGTTGTAAAGAAGAAGAAGAGAGATGGAGAGAAGAAGAAGAAGAAGAAGAAGAAGAA